GTTATTTTGCGGGGATATTTTGTATGGAATATTGTCTGCTGACATTAAAAGTTCACTGTATATCATAGTAATAAATACCATTTCTTTTTATGTTAAACACATTAAATATTACATGTATGTACTGTATGTAATATAATGTGTACTTCCATTACAGGTTTAGGTTTTACATTTCATATAAGGTGGTATTAAAAAGTCTTAAATGTAACTTGTTCATGTCTGTAGAAACCCTGTAAACTCACGATTCTGACTTTTTTCTCAATCGCGTACATCAGGGGTGCCCAAACTCAGTCCTGGAGGGCCGGTGTCCTGCAGAGTTTAGCTCCAGCTTGCCTCAACACACCTGCTGGTAAGTTTCTAGCATGCCTATAAGAGCTTGATTAACTGCTTCAGGTGTTTAATTAGGGTTGGAGCTAAACTCTTCAGGACACCGGCCCTCCAGGACCCAGTTTGGGCAGCCCTGGCTTACATGATGTCCTCCGTGTTTATGAGTTTTGAGAAGCAATTCTTTTGTTCAGTGGTCGTTTACATGCTTAGTGCATATCGCCACCTAATCGATGGTTGTGCAATCATTTTTATTTTTTTCCCGTTTAATCTTTAATCCTCAAGAATATTAATTATATTGTTTGTTGGATGATAATTATATATTAAGTCATATCAGATATGTATTTTTTTATTATAGAAATGCATTACAGAAAATGCCGATCCATGTGTGAGATGATAATATAAAATGTAATAAATAAATATGAAGAGTTCATTTGCAAAAGCAGATAACTCCGTTTTTAACAATTCTCAGAAATCGTGTTTTTTCATTCCAGTTAATCTCAATCAAACTGCAGTTGGGTTATTTTGACTAGGTTAAAAAATAACTTTAAGATAACAGCTAACTAACACATTAAAACACAATAAAAACATGATTTTTGACAATTTTATCAGAGTTATCTGTTTTTGCAATAACATAACTTCATATAATATAATAAATTAAATATGACCTAGTCATAATAGTGTTTTATAATTTATACAGATAACTGTTATACAGGTGCATCTCAATAAATTAGAATGTCGTGGAAAAGTTCATTTATTTCAGTAATTCAACTCAAATTGTGAAACTCGTGTATT